TCGTCCCCGCCTTAAATCCATGCCAAGTCCTCCACTCTACATGAGATTGTAAAAACATAGGGCCAACAAACAAAGGCCCACCCAAGGATTCCTACTATGAAGGATCTGCAGGATGGAGAACAAGTGCATGCTTTCAAAGAACGAGTGACGGGAGAATGTGTACGTAAGGGTGCATAATGTTTTATTATGGGATGGGGGCTGGGGCGTACATTGGAAGTACATGCTATTATTGAGAGTTCATCAGATTTCCTGCAGTAATGGACACCCTATTAATACTTTGTCAGAGCTTATTACAGAACAATCCTGTGAAGCATTGAGGAGACACAGGTTTGTTCTGGTGGGAAAAAAAGAGAGCCAAGTAGACCGGCACAGACTTTTACATTTCTTCTGCAGAGGGCCACAGGAGTGTCTCAGGGAAGAGAGAGCGCTATCAAAGGCCTGAATTGGGTGGAAGCGTAGCAAAATAAACAGCTTGCTGCACCATCTGCTGCTCAAAGTGTGTGTCTAGCAATGTGAGAAAAGCACAGCAGCACAGAGAACTAGCATAGCGCTAGGTAGCGAAAACAGACACTTGGTAAGCTGTGGTGGAGGTACAGCAGCGGGCGAGGAATGTGTGAGGGGGGGTACTTGCTAGTACAGTAGCGCATTCGTCAGCATGCACCACTTAATGCAATTTATTTGACACTTTGCCTTTCTTAAAGCACCCATCTACAGCAAAGCGGAAGGTTAAGAAAGAAGCCTGTGCTATGCGTTGACATGGTCTACTATTGGACAGTAAACAAAAGAAAAAGAAAAAAACAATTGTTAACAGCTTTCTCTATACATTTACCAGTTGTTCCTGAACATCAATAAATATATCGTAAAAGTGTTGTTGCGTTGTTGTCTTGGGAGTTTGTCTGGTTTAGCCATGGTGGGGTGGTTATGCTAGGACCAGAACTGTTGAAGGGAGAGAACGAGAATAAGATTTCTTGCTACTTAATATCATGTAAATTCCATATACATTTATATTGATAGCAGAGAGAAAGGCTTACCGCTGATGGCCTCCTGGGCAAAGTACTTGACATCCATGTCTGTGTCCGTGGCCAGCTTCTCCAGCACCGGCTTCACTTCAGTTTGAAGGGCACTGTGGGAAAGAGAGGGGGGGGGGGGGGGGGGGTATCAGACCAACTGTCCTTCTGGTTCTTGAGTCGAGTGAGATGATCCATTAAAAAACGCCCGATGCCGAAATCACATACCTGCTATCGATGACGGGGCCGATCTTCTGGAGGGATTTGGCCACGTTGAAGCGCACGTTGGCCACCTGGTCGGTGGACATCTTCAGGACCACCGGCAGCATCTGCTTCGTGGTGATGTCCTGACCGCATGCCTCTGACAGAGCCTGGGACACAGCATACAGAGGGTCACTCAGTGAACATTGGCATACAATGAATCAGTCCAATATAGCTTTAGCAGCTAATAGCCGTAGCAGCTGAGACTCACGTTGATGCAGAACAGAGTGGTCATCCTGTGCAGGTAGTTGGGGTCGTTGGCCATGCCCAGCACTTTGGGCACGATGGTGTTCTGAGCCCACTCGGCTCCAAACTTCTCCACCAGCTTCATGAGGTTACAGGTGGCTGCCTCCCGGATGGCGTACACTGGAACATAAGAGTGACAACAATCTGCGTCAACGCTGTGCTCGAGTTGATCTTTTTCTCCATGGCAGAGAGGACCTCACATCGCTCACTTCCTGTCTGCTCAAAGACACCTGGATTCGCTTCATAAACAGTGGAAATAACTGCTGTTTTCTTTACTTCTCATGCAGATCAACATCTCATTTGTTACATAGATATAAAAGTATTTAAACTCATAGCTCTGCTTTTACTGGCTCGCTGCTACTTCTGCCTTTTCCCCCAGCACTGTAAGCCGGCCGATGGATTGCTTTAAGTGGATGATTTTTCCAGACAGTGTAAAAATTACGTTTCAAGCATTTTGATCCATATAAGCGGATTATCCCTAAATGTGCTTTCCTTTGTATTAATCTACTCTTTGTATGCTTTACAGATCATAAAGGACTCAGAGTTATATCCTTTAGGCTTAAACAAATGTATACATTGATAGTTTGCATAAACTGTACAATATTCCTATGATGAAAAGTCTAAAAAGACATTGCTCAGTATACTGGGTAAAAACGGAGAAGTCATTAAGATGAAAGAGCAGACAGAAGTCATGATTATATTGACATGTGAAATATAGGATGTCTTTAATAAAGTGAGGGACGGTTATGTCCTTCACTGAAGAGCTTATGTAAGGGTGTCACAGCCCTAACCCCAGCTAAAGACACACACACGTCCAATGATATAACCCAGGTGGCCCTTTGTCCTCAATAGTGAGCGTGTGTGTTTCTCTAATTGGAAGTTGATGTGCAGAGAACACTGTATACTCAAGAGGGAAAATTCATGCAGAAGACAGTGCTCCAGGTTCTCAGGTGGAACAGGGTGTGAGGTCCATCAGACCCGTTCAGACGGCAGAGAAGAGCCCAGGATAAAGCAGATCAGTTATGAACTCACTCAGAGCGACCCAACTGGGATCCAGAACTCCATTAAACACAGCTAGAGCCACAACATGAACTGCAGATTGTGTTCAGTAACGCATATAGAAGTTATGAAGCAGCTGTGCCCTGGTTATATCACTCTGATGTCAAACACATTGTATTACAGGTTGTAGGGGTCGTTCACCTTCATAAGAGGACAGCTGTCTGCTTAGTGGACGGGCTCAGGTGACTAAGAGCACTGATGCTCTTAAGGCAGGACAGGCGAGTCATTGATAGTCAAATTGAACAGTCTTGACTTGGAGCTTCAGGCTGCTAAAGAGTACCGAGGGCAAAGACAAATGAAAGGATCCCAACAGGAAAATAAAGGGGCAGCTGCTTTGGGAATCCTTCTCCAGGAAGTCGCTTTGGGGATGTTTCAGAGGTTATTGTGCTTTGAGAACATAAAGGAAATAAAATGGAAAATACTTGGGCGTATTTGGAATTGACCGAACAAATGATTGCCATAAAAGTCGCTTATGCAAGCAGCCCAGTTTATGCAACCATTTTTGTCGAGTGCCAAAAAGAAAGTGGGATGTGTAATAAAAGATAGCCTGTAATGTCTTACAACAAAAGTGCCTTACCGTGATCAATCAGCCAGGCCATACAAAGGGTGTTGAGCTTCTCATCAAAGAACTCCACTCCCTGAGAAAACACAGTGGAGTTAGAGCACTTCCTGGATGTCAGTCGGTTGTCTGCACATTGCTAAATGCTCTGGTTCTAAACATGGAAGTAGTTAAGAAAGACCGTTAAAACATATTGACTAAACGGTCTCATCTGTGCTGCTAGACGCCATGACTCACCAGCTGTCCTGCCAACAGGGGCATGTACTCGATGATGGCGAGGCGGACCCTCCACTTGGCGTCCTCTGCCAGCTCCACGATGGCCGGCAGCAGAGACTGGGAGAGCTGACGGATGCCGATCACCTCGTTCACACAGTCCAGGTTGGAGATGATGTTGAGGCGCACCTCGGGGCACTGTGGCACAAACACGCATTAATCACAGCAAAGTATTTAGGTACAAAACAAACTGTCTGCTGTCCAAGTAGACTTACTCAAGATGATTGGTTTAAAATGAGGGTTATTACAATCCTTATACTACAGGTAATAGAGGATCACACTAGAGGAACCTGTAGGAGTGAATCCCAAACAACTGGAGCAGTAAGTTTGAAGGTCCTTCAACTCCTGCTTTTCATTCAAAGTAAAGTCTTATACCATGGGCCTTTCGCTTCCTTAGAAACTTCACTTTTCTTCAAACCATCCACTTTTGACTATATGGAACTACTCCAATCATTGGAGGGACATTTGCTATCTGAGCGTTTACACCCCCTACTCCAACTAATATTTCAATCTCAAACCGGTTATCTAAATTAATTAGTGTTTGAGCTTAATATGAACAACTCACACTGTGTTCTACTCTATCATTTTCTTGTCTCCAGCGAAGCCACTTGACTCTTTATCAACAAACTAGACTTCCAAGAAGTTTCATCTAGACATATGAACCCAGGTTTCTAGAAAAGTTCCTTAAAAGGACATCTGCTTTAATTTAAGTTTGAACATGTTAACAACTGGAATAGCTTAACAAAACAATTGATATTCCTAAAACAGAAGCCCGAAAGTGCACAATGATTTGAAATACTCAGTCAGGGTTGTTAGAGTGGGAACTGAGAAGAAGCCAAGAAGGGACGGTAAGAATTAAAATAATTGAGCTTTTAAATGAATAGCACATCTGCAAATGTCTCCATCTTGCTCTCTTTAAGCTGTCCTCAGCACGTTGCATTATTGAAACGTACAAGTCAAAGCTGTCAGCCCGGACATAAATCTAATTAGACACTCTTAATGTTGCGTTGGAGCTGTGAGGAAATGGGGCCATCTTTAAATAGGACTAAAGCAGGCAGAGAAAGGACTGACAGCCTCCAGCCTCCCTAAACATGGATATACATTTGTGTCCAACCTGCCAAACTCTTGCCTTATCTCAATATGTAAATGCATTTCGTGGAAATGTATTCATAGGACAAGATGTGACAGAGCCATTGTTGTTCTAGATGAACCTGTTACGTCAGCTGATGGATGTTCTTGTACACTCTTCTCCTAAAACCCAGCCCATTGTAACTTCATGCAGAATAACTAAATCAACCGCTCCAGAAACACATCATTCAAATAGTGACAACATATCTGAAATGCAAAGCAGACAGGCTCATGAAAGGATGCATCAGGTTACTCTTCAAAACTATTGTATATGCTACATGGTCAGCTGGGAAAAAAGCCTCTGATTAAATGTACTACTTACTTAAAAAGGTAAATACAATTAAAATGTATCTCGCAAAGACGTATCTAGTTGCAGGGTGTCCAGCTTTTCATTATGCTTCCCTCTAGACACAACAATTCAATATTCTGATTGTAAAGTCGCAGTCGGGCTGCCAACCCAATGACTCACCCTCCCACTCAGCCAGGTACATGTGGTGGCTACACCTAAGTGGCTCTACACTGAGTCAGAAGGATCACTACCATCCAAAAGAGTTGGACAAACTCAGAGCTTCACATGAAGTTTTAGCTGTGAATGTTACCCAACCAATCACAGCCTGGAGTGAACAATATATAAGAGCAGGGTATCTGCAGGAATCCTGAAGTCAAATGGAAGACCTTTTAAGACCTCATCACCACTTGGAGTTAACCGGTTACATTGGCGACACTTTACCTCACATTATACAGTATTGATTGTACTTTCTCCTTATCTTCCAACCATTTGGACGCAAACTTGCATTTCCACATAACCATGTTGTTTAACAACCGGCGTAAACGGACCTTCGCGCGCTATCAAGCAATCCTGTTCAGATGACGTCAAATCCAACGGGATGCCATAAATAAACTACAAAGAATCACACTACACACCTACGCAATGATTACATTCAGGCAGACTGTAGAATACAACCTCTTTGGACCATTTATATACTTATTGAAAACAAGCTACAAAATGTAAAAACTTGGAAAATACCGTTTAATACTTTTTAATCGCCTTCATTTTCGCTAAATTGATTTATCAACTTCTAATACTTTTTAAGACCCCGCGGACCCCCTGAAGAGACATGGAGGCCTACTATTACAAGTGTGCGTTTGGTTTACCTCGTCCTTGAGCTGAGCCAGGAACAGAGGTAGTAAATGCTCGATTGTGTTGTCCTTGCCCAGGATGGTGGAGAGGCCCATGATGACGGAGGCCAGGGCCGACTTCACATGCTGGTTGGTGTCTGAGACCAGTTCCTGTTCAGAGACACAGAGGAGACAGAGGTCAGCACAAACAAATGGTTAAGACACAAAGTACGTAAACAAACATCCAGAACACTGTTATTGGTTATAATCACAACACACTGCTGAGAGGGAGGCTATAATCCACTTGTGTGTAAATATGCAGCAAAGTGGCAGCAGTGATACTAGCGCAGACAAACAGTCATGCAGCTCAGTGCTGAAGGTGGAATCACTAACAGTACGATGAAGACAGGAATAGCATAATGTAAGTTCAAACATGTTCAGTGATTATATCAAAAACAATGGAAGATTGTATTAAAAGAAAGATGCACTATAGATTTGTAGGACCTTTTATTTGTACAGCTTTCTAAAGTTTGTGTGTCAGTCTGTTGCCGTCTGTACTACTTTGTTCCACTGTTGATATGTTAAGAGGGTAAACCAAATGACCGTCTACCTATAACAAACAAGTCTGTCAATCCAACAATGTAACCGAATGTTAACCCTTGCCACTTCTTTAAGTAAATACAAAAGCTTGCAATGATAAGAATGTGCAATAAGAGAGACCACGACTGAACTCATTGTGGAAGAAAAAACAACAGTGCCACCTGCTGTTCAAAATCTGACAGACACTGGCACAGAAAGTGCTTTTACCGTCTTGTGCTACATACAAGTGCCAACATGTTATAGCTAGGGTTATCTTAGAGGGTGTTTCAGTGTCTCTACAGGTGGTAGTGAGCCATCAGAGCATCAAAGCAAAGGAACAGGTCATCACTGTAGAGCAGCACAAATATTTATAATCCTAGAAATGGGTCCATACTCCATTTCATCCAATATCTTGTTAGAAGATTTCAGTTAAAAACGTGATACTTCTTTTTTTAGTCATACTGATATTTTACTTTACTGCTAAATCTGGACATCTTGGGCATTTAAGTGTAGTGGGGAAAAACAGCTTGTAAACAAAGCCAAGTTTTACACAATTGTTCTTATATCCGAATGAATGATATATGTAATATTGTTTAACTGTGTTTGTATCATCATCATTTTGAAAACCTGTTGGACTCATATCAGCTATTACGTTACTAAATGATCAGTGAAAATGGACAACATAAAAAAAAAATTAAAAAAAATAGCCAAATTGTAAAACAAAAACCAGTTTTCTTTTGAGCGGATGTTACACCCCCACATGTCTACAGAAACCCTTTGGGGAACACCATCAAAAGACACGCCTCCAGTCCTCTTCCATGCTTAATAGCAAAGAGTTTTTGTTAACCTGAGATGAAGGAGCAAAGAAATGTCACAATGCGATTTTGTTTTTACCTTGACACAGGGCAGAATGTGAGTCATGATGATTTGCTCACGGCTGTCCTCTGGGAGGTTCTCACAGAACTCTACCAAAGGAAAAGGAAACAGTCAATAAAATATGAAACGGACAAGACAAGAAGCTGAAGCCAGTTCATTTGAACCCTTCAATTCATGCCATTTTCAGAAGTAGTTTTCTGGTATTCAGGCTTTATTTGCTGACCTTTGACTTTGTTTGCTGCAGCAGCGCGGACCTCAGCTTCACAATCCTTCAGAAGGTTCTGGAAGGCTGGCACCAGATCGTTCTTGGTGATCTCTGGTCCCACTGCTTTCTGGAGCTACATTTGGAGAGAATCAACACGAGTCAGTATCTAAATAAGCATGAGGTGAACATTTCAATTCAAAAAGTCAGAAAAAAAAACAGACAGCATTCTGTCTTCACAACCCCTCAAAGCACATAAACAATTAAGTCCCCATTCATAAAAAAATCATATCAAAAGGTGCCACACATCCAATCGGGAGCAATTTGGGGTTAACCATTTTGCCCAAGTCAGGTTTAATACAAACTACTGTTGAGACAATTCATTCAACACATTCACATTAAATGCTTGATGGGAACAACATTTAAAAAAAGATATTATTTTACGACTGAACACTAATTCAGCTAAACATTCCTAATATCTTTGAAACGCCCTCCACATCACACACGATACTTAATTTCCTGCATCAGACATGAAAGATACAAACAAATGAAACATAGTTCCTTAAAACTCAAGTGAATTCTGGGAAATGTTTTTTGGTCATACCAACAGTCAAATGGCTGATTTAATAAATACATTGAATCTCTTTGGAATGAGTTCAGAGTGGGGTCTGTGACAGGATTTTTACAGCCTAGCATATGATTATAAAATAAATGATTACTAACCAGAAGCCCTGATGTGTCAGAGAAGAAAGATTACAGCTTTAAAGACACGTTTACATATTGATTGTTTGATGCATGTTCTCCATTTATAAAAGCCTAAAAATGCTTCAGAATAGGCACTGAAATTAAAGAATCTTTCAGCGTCTTCTTTTCTTCACTAGTAACAGATGTTATCGTTTACTTTGACCACAGATACAGTTGTACTGACTAGAGGCAAAAGCCCACACCTAATGTGTTTCATAAGAAATATTTCTCGCTAAAGTGTAAATATTTACTTCGCCCTGATCTTCGACAGCAAAATGTGCCAACACTTCCTAACATGCACCTCATTTCTTTCAGCATTTGTTTGGCACCTTTTCTTCCCACAGCCTAGCATCCCTTCTCTTTGTAATTGTGTTTTTTTGAAAAACGTGTCAGTTGTATCCAGCTGTCTGCTTCAAATAGCCCCTGATATTTGTGAGGCTGATCATTTCCAGGTATCAGGCATTAAAATACAGATTGGAGCACCCTTAGAAAGGAGGAAAGGAGTCTGCTGCTTACCTCAGAGAACTTGTCAGCAACCATGTAGCGGACCCTCCAGGATTTGTCTTCTGCAGCCTGGCGCAGGGTTGGCATCACCAGGGTCTCAAGGTCCTCCTGAGGCAGCAGAGTGGCAATGCTGACACAAGCCTCCACAGCGAGGAGCCGCACAGAGTCCTGATAAAGAGAGGCAATGGGATCAGTTTTTTGTTCACCACGCTTAACAGATGAGAGGACTGCAGGAAGCAGAATACAACAGCACTTTAATTTGACATTAAGGAAACGTACCTGCTCATCAGAGGCCAGAGCAGTGAAGAGGGAAATGATGTCACTTTTTACATAGTCAAGCTCCAGGACTTTGGCAAACTCCCCCAGTTTAGATGCTGCAGCACGACGCACCATAGGAGTGTCATCTGAGCACAAGGTGCGGAAATGCCTAGAGACAACCACAAACAGAGATTACATCACTGAAAACTGACTGACCAAACCTAATTATATGCCCAAAACAAATCACAAAAGGTAGGCTTTAATATTTGGTTAGAAGCCTAATTTGAACCATAATGTACACATTTGAAATAAGAGCACTGTAAAAAGTGTTTGGTGAGAATCCACTTACTGGCGGATCTCAGCTTTGACGGTGCTGGAGACACGGGGATAACAGACGCTAAAGAGGCCGCAGGCAGATGTGCGAGAAGTGAACCAGTCACCACTGGCCAGCCGCTTGACCAAAGGCTCGAAGTGGACCTCCAGGTCAACTGGAGAGTGCTCCTGAGAGATCTTCCTCAGAGACTCCACAGCCTTGTCTCTGACTACTGTCTCCTCCACTGTAGCCAGGCTCTCCAGAGGAGGCTGTGCATTAAAAAAATAAGTTTTCAACTATTAGCAAGTACAAGACATTAACGAGTATGTATATGTAATATGTTATACATAAAGCACCAATAGCTTATACTCTTTATAGACAATATTTCAGATTTAGGTCATCTATAAAAAGGGATCGTGGGCTATGTAGAGGTGAAAACACGAGTATCGTCTACAAAAAAACTAATAAGCAAGCTTTTAAATTGATTGCTCAACTTCACTAAGCTAAAAGGTTTCATCCATTATTCCCCCGAAGAGACTAACAATCTAGGAATGCTATGACATGAAATGATTCAGCATGATATACATGTTACGTCTATGTGGCCATAGCATTAATCAAAATCCACTCTTCAGTGACTTACCAGGAGACAGTGGACATACTCTGGCCCTCCCACCAACATGGTGAAATTGCCAAGCTGCTCAGCCAAGGCCAAGAGCACCTCATCTTCATCGTAGATGGTGTCTAAGAGATTACAGAAAGGAAAAACGAGAGAGAATATCAATTTAGGTCTGAAAAAAAATATTAAACGACAAATTTTGGCAGCAGCTTGGAAGGATTTAAAGTACAACACACTCAGACGTTCTCCATGTGACGACCCTTTGTAAAATAACATTGAGGTCATAACCTCTGTTGGTCGAACATCAGGTGATTTGTATGGGCAAGATGATGCACTTTATTACCTGTGAGGAAAGGAAGGAGTTCAGTGCGAGTCCTCTCGACACCAAGGGCCAGAGCAATGGTGGACAGCTTCTTGATGCTGTTCAGACGAAGCTGTACATAAAAACGACAATCGTGAGTGAGGAGTTCACAATAAAGTTGGGCGCGTTTAATGAACTGTGTACATTCTTAAGCTTCACATGTACTATGCCCAGCTAGCTCAAGTATTATGACTCACAAGAAAAGTACATCAGGTAGCGTCCAATCTCAGTGACGGTTAGCGTCATCAAAACAAATAGCTAGTTAGCTAACAAACAACATTTTAACAATCTATGATAGCTTAACGTCAACTGCCAAGGAATAGCCCGACTGAATATAGTCGGCTCTACGCACTGCGGCCTTGAACGCCCGGTTGTTGTGATTGTAAACTTTAGTCAATTAGCTAGCATCCCGGGATACGAGGCTTCAACGCTAGCAGCTAAACCAATGACTTAGCTAGCTTTTCTGTCACACCCATTTTGTTATCTTCACATTTCAGTTAATACAATCACCGACAATTACATTTCACCAGATTGACAATGTATGCAGTAAATGATGACAGCAAATTAGCTAGGTTAGCAAAGCTGGGTGCGCCCAGTGGATCCATTGATAGGCCCGGGGACGTTAGCTTGCAGTTAGCTAGCTGCTAATCAAATGCGCGCCTGGAATACGTTAAAATGGCCCAATTTTGCAGAACAATACATATTACGATTTAAGTCAAAGCTAGGGTTTTTACCTGAACATCCTCATTTCGCAGTTCATCAATGAGAACGGCGATAGGGTAGAGAGAGTCGTCTCCATCAGCTCCTGCCATTTTGGATACTGTTTCTGAATGGCGCTGCTGTGCTACGGGGTTTCTGTTTCTGAGCTGAACGACTGCAGGGCCTCCCTCCTCCGATACTGCGCTGCTGCTGCCAGTGCCTTCAAGACACCGCCGAGAAAACCGCAAAGGAAAAATCCTGATTTAACAAAGATCACTCAAACTAAATGAAATAGCAAAGAACTTCCAGCCCAATAAACAAGAATAATTAAGTTGATTTATTTTCTTTATCTCTGTGGGTTTGTTATATGTTTTAAAAACAACTGCAGAGAAATAGAGCATTGAGACGAATGACACATTCAAGTAAGATAGTGCTATAAAACATTTGATTAGCAAGGGGTTTGAAAACTTTGAAACCAGTTGTCATGCCCCCATTTAAATGTTCTCACAAAGAAATCCCACAAATACCAAACATCATGACACTCTTTACTAAGGGCAGCAAAATATATGAATTGAATAAGTTAAATTAATGCTTAAATGAGTAGTATTCACAAATGGGCTAATATTTGAAAACAATAATCTTTTATACATGTTGGAAAGTATAATACATTGCTAACTAATTCGTAAATAAAGTAGTACCAATTGTTACAGAAGTAAAATACTCAAATAATCTATTAACAGCCACATTAAAACAATTATAATATTAACACATTTTATTATCAACATTACATGAAAAGTAGACCCACTTGTTTTATATTAATTTACAGCGTGACATGCTTTCTTGATTTGAATACTATAATGTTTTAATTAAAAAATAAAATTTTTACATTGTGTTGTCTTCAATTGTTCGCACACAATTGCCTCACTGTTATTGCAATTGCAACGTGTGTGTACAATGAAAAACACAACATATAGAAAACTGAGAATAAGATATTAAAGGTAGGGTTTGTAAGAATGGAGAAACCAGCTCGAGTGCGCTAGAATTTGAAAGTACGCACGACGCAGCCGAAAAAAATCTGCCCCTTGCTTCATTCAGACTTCCTTACAGAGCCCCTCCTCCAAAACACACGAATGCGCACATGACCAATGAGGGCACGAGATAAGTTTGTGCACGAGGCAGGTACGCCATCCAGTTATTTTACCGGGGCGGCTAAAATGGTCGTGCTTTTTACAGCGCCACGGCTTCCACAGATGAATTTTTGTTATGTATTTATTGTCAAAGCATTTAATATATTCATTGCTATCGGGATGTTAAGAGCATTCCATGGAATATATATTAAAAAAAAGTGTAAAAAGTGTTTCTGAAGTGAATTACCTACCCTACCTTTAACCATCAAAATAACCTGGATAAAAACACACATCTTATGTACAATGTATTTCCATAGGAGCCTTGTAGTACAATGAACAGGTATTAGTGGGAATGATGTGCTGATGATTATGTGCATCACAGAAAGAGGGCGGTGCTCACTGGAATCAATGTTCATTTTGAAAACTGTGTAGATTATTAAAAGACTACCCTCCTCTAATATTTGTTATGGATATTACAACACGTATTTGTTTATTATAGAACACTTTAAAACTGAGAAAATAGCAAAAACTATTACATTATTTAGACATTTCAAGTTTAGTAGACAATAAATATGCTCCTTCTTTACTTTTCCTACAGTTTATTAATTGCTGTACACTTTATTATTATTTGTATATAGGTTTATACTATCAAATGTATTTACTGCATCTTTTACAATTAACAAATGTTTTCTCCATCAAATTTTTTTCCAGGATAAAGAATCCCTTTTATTTTGAAAAACAGTGAACCGGATATTTAACTCTTCTTCTTCCGTCGGTATCATCTCATTGGATCATGATGGCGTCTCAGCAGCAGCAGCAGCCCGGCGGGCCGATGTCACAGCCCGGAGGACCGATGTCGCAGCCCGGCGGGCCGATGTCGCAGTCCGGCGGGCCGATGTCGCAGTCCGGCGGGCCGATGTCTCAGCCCGGGTTACAGCAGCAAGCTTCATTACAACAGCAGCAGCAGCAGCAGCTCCTGAGCCAACAGCAAGACTTTGACCCAGTCCACAGATTTAAGATGCTCATTCCTCAGCTGAAGGAGAGTCTGCAGGTAATTCTGCGACATGGAGCTAAAAACTGAAATGGAAAAATTCCCAAAACATCCAATGACTTAACCTGATCTGAATTCATCCTCGTTATACTCCCCC